CCCTTATGACTATTCTATATCCCGTGTTAAGAAACTCCTCCGTACTGGATTTATTATTCATTCAAGAATTACGACTGATACGGGACAAAACTTACTTCCCTTAAAGTGAAAGAGAGGTGACAGCTGGCATCTAATTTGTTTAGAAATAAGTAAATCTTACATTCATCATGTAAATTAACTATCGTTAGTATTTAATTCAAATAGGAAAACTCTTAAACATAACAGAAAAATAACGCTTCATTCTTTAATAATCAAACTAAAAGCTTACACAAACAACAATAAAGCCATAACATTATTTATGCATTCAGTCTTCTCTCTAGTACACATTTTTTGTGAGATATGCGTATACGAGTATTATAAACATTACCGCGTTGAAATTAACATATACCTAAGTTACATTTTTTAAAATAAAATAAAAATTACCTATAAATGTATTAAGTCCATTGGGAAGTCGTACAGATTTAAACATCCTATTATTTAAATAGTACAGATGCACATAAAATAGGCATACAGCTACCATATTCTATAAAATTTAAGTCCCAAAGTCAGAACGGAAATAGTTGAAGAATCCTTCTACCTCGACGTATTTTCGAAGAATGTGTCGGGAATCCCGTAAACGACATGTGGTACTTTATTTGAATCGTCAGGCCAAATAACTGGAATTATTTCCTGTTTCTTTTTTTCTGTTTGTCTCGTACTCAAACGCAGGTTAATAAGTAATGAAGCGGATTCGGTTGAGTTTTGTTTGTTAAAGTGATTATTCAAATACGAAAAACGTTTTCGGGCTTTCCTAAACTTCGCTCATATTTTATTCATCGATTTTTCACGGTTCGAGACATTCGTAATTGTTTATAAGGTTTTGCCTCCCTGCATGGAGTAGGGCAGAGCGCCGTTGGTGTAGAGAAAGATCTTAAAGAAATAATAATTAAGTAACATATTCTGAGAAGCTCTACGCCATGACTTAATAATCTCAATAATTTTATGGTACATAAAAAAAAATCTGTTTCTACTTGTAAATTTGAAATCAGAATGACTTAGTGATTGGGTGTTAAAATGAAAGTGGTTTATACTTTTAGAGTTTTTTCATAACGAAACGCATATGTTGTTAGGAGTACTGTAAATGTTTTATATAATTCAACAACTAATTTAATACGAGACGAAATAAGTTTAAATAACAGAAATAGAATGATATTTCATTTGTGTGTTTTTTTTACTAGTTTTCCTTTGTCTCTAGAAGTTTCCAAAGAAAACTAATCCTTTCCCAAGATTATTCCGTGCGGCTCCCAATCAATTCGCCTATAAAAACAAAAGGATAAAATGCGGCTATCCTTTCCCGAGAGTTCTCTCCTCGGAGAATCATTACGTAAATACGACAAAATTGCAGAAGATTCTTCGTCGGAAGGGGTGTTATTTATGGAGGGCACAGGGTGAAGTGTATTTGAGTGGCTCTATTAGCTCACCTAATAATTTCTTCTCCGAGTTAATTGTTATGTCGCCTGTAAGACCAGGTGGCTCGTCCCATTAGGCCGCCGCGGGCAAGTTAATACCGAAGCAAGAAACTTGAGAGCCACTGTGAGAGTCTCGACCCGCGGAAATATTTAAACAAATTAAAACTTTGTCCTTATGCTATTTCCCGAAGTCGCCTTATTCTGATTCGTTTTTATTGAGTTTTCTCCCAGTTTCATCAACTTGCCAAAAGTGAGAGGTTCTAATTGGATTCATGCATAAAAAATTGTAAAAACTTTGTTATCTCTTAATGCCATCTATCTATCGTTTCCATCTATTAGGCTATTCACTCTGCAGAGGTGATGATTTCGTAAGAGGGAGAAAATAACTATTGTACTATATTTATTAATTTAAAAAATTAAAACCTATCCAATTTGCAAAATTAAATTTTGTTTAAGTATTCCAGTTTCTTAAAGTTTGCACAAAACTTAATCTATTTGTAAACCGTTTTAGAACACCTCTGTTTTATCTCTGTCTGGGGGTTAACGATAGAAATTATATGAAAACTCTCTTCCCCAGGAGTTTACAATGTCCATAATTTTTATTCTGTAGATAATATAATAACATTTTGTGATATTACCTGCCTATCTCTTATTACTTCCGTGACAAGTCATTACAACAATACGTAATTAACGATAAAAATAAATTGTAGGTACCATAGTTATATTTAGAATTAAATAGAAGTTGAAGTATACCGTCAAGTAAGTTAAATCTAATCATTTCAACCAAAAAAAGAAGCATGCCAAAAAATAAAACTAAAAACTAAATTGACAACTTTTAAATAACATATATATTTTTTTACTAAATTGAAATTTAAAGGCGAAATGGCTTCAACCATTACTTATAATGCAAAAGAAAAATTAAATAAACATATAAATACGTTGAGATTTTCGTCGGCGGGAAGATATGCCGTTTCGCTTAGTGGCTAGAGCGTAGGGCGCGTAGCTCGGAGGATGCGGGTTAAAATCTTCGCAGCAGTGAAAAATTTGTAATTTTTCATTGATGTGAAAAATTATTTTTCTACAAATTTTTAATTTTAATTGACAGGGTTAAAACAATTAATTTACCACAAAAATTAAAATCAGACTATTTAAAAATAAATGAAAATATTAATTTACAACAAAAAGCACTACAGATAAAAATAACATATAAAAAGTTTCCTTAAGTATAATTTGCTGATCATTTTATGCATAAATGTAACGTAATGTATCTATTGTAGCATCATTAAGAAAGCATATATCGAGGATATTTTCGAGAGAAGTAAATTACAATTTTACACCTTAAGTGAACTCGTCACTTTCCAGGTTTTAGTTTGAGTGCGACTTGTGCACAGAGCTGCGTCCATTTTGTATAACTGACGTTCAAGGAGCATTGTTTCACCAGCAAGGTATTTTGATGGACACGATCCTGACCGTTAGACCGGACAATAGATAGTTTCTGAACTGTTAAGTAACCGTTAGCAACCAGAGTCAGAAAACAATTGCATAGTTCGTGAATTCCTCTCAACAGCTGACGGTTCTAATTTGGCAGAATGAGTGATCGTTGCCATTAGTAGTGTAATTACTAACTGCTGTTGTAATTTCGGGAATAACGTTGAAGAGTTACTGTTGCGAAAAACCACAAGTCGATAAATAATTATCATAGATAATACTTGAACTAAAGGAAACCGTGAATTAAAATCGATCATTCGATTAGTCATCTAATTTAAATATTCAGAAAAAATTACGTCACTGATTGCATGAAAATTATAATACTAAAAATTCTAAGTAAGAAGAAAGTTTCGCTTCTAATGTGCTTCGTAATACACATTATTAATAATACCTATTAATACATGTTTCAATAAGAATACAGATAATCTTACTTTGAGATTGGAAATTTAATATTTAATATAAGTTCAGGTTTTGTTTATCTAAATAAACACCAAGCTTTTCCAGAGGTTCTAAAATCGTCGTTATAATTAGAGAACACGGCAAGAAATCTGACCTGCAACTGGCATCAATTATCTTTTTCCTTTTTGGTTTTGTATTGGAGAAAAATAGACTTTAACGTAAATGTTGTTGACTGTGTGAAAGTCAGTGTTAAGAAATCATGTATAGCATAACATATTACTTGCTTAAAAAAATCTTATGGTTAATACTCTGGCTGCAGATTTGGGACAGTTTACTAGAGATATGCGTCTGGAAATGTTGTGGAAATTTGTAATTTAAAATATAAAATAGAAATAAATCACAGGAAGTTAAACACAGTATTAAAAAGTTTGATATTATATAAAAGTACCTACAACAAGCAAATTAATGAGACAGGTATCTCAAGGGAACTAGCGTTATCTTCCTTTTAAATAAAGTCCTTAATAATGGAGCCGACTGTTTAGTAGAATTGCGACGACATTACAGCAAATTTTTCTCTCTGTAAATGCTCGCGTGCTGAAAGGAACAACGAATTTCTGTATTTTTCCACATATGTACGATCTATTGTAAATGCTTCATCGTATTGAAAATTCTTGTAATTAGAAGAATTTTCAAATAATAAAATAAAACTTCAGGCTTTAAATATATAACCGAGATAAATGCCAGACTGAAAGGATATCGAAGAAAGTCAATGATGACGAAGTGAAAAATAAAGATGTAAAGAATCAGTAAAAACTTGTTTTATTCGTGCTAAGGTTGGGCATGGCTATAAAATACCGGGAGTCTACGCTGTACATTGTCTCCAATTTCGCCCACTCGCCCGAGCAGCGATGAAAAATATTTCGGCAAGAGTAGAATTAGTAAAGTTGTAGGGAATTCCACACGACGCTACCACACATTGCCCGAATATTAAAAGGCGAATTAGACTGGTCAGGACACGATGAGTTCATAAATGTTCTTATTAAGCCTCAACTTGTAACGGCCACTTGAGGTTACGTGACTGAAGTGGCTACTGCAAACTTAGATTTTTCGTAGTGTTCAGCGTTCATATCTCGTGCTCAAACTAAAGTGTTGTAAAATCAATTTGATCCAGTGGCTGTGGCAAAATCGAATCATTTGGTACAGTCACTCAAAAAACACGAAAACTTCCTCCGAGTTATAAATAAAAAGATGCCAGGAGACCCCAAAACCAATTAAAAGGTTCAAAGTTACCGATGGGAAAGACCAGGTGGTGGTAATTGTATTATAATGTCGGTTATTTTTTCATGAAGTCCCGGTAATAGAGTACAATTGAGGAAATGAATATTACAGACAATGACGTCATGAGTACAAACTAACTGCTGTGTATGACAGAGTTATATGCGAGACAGATAGTATTTTACTATCCTACGATCGAGGTAATAAAGTAAGCAATTTGTTTGAAAACTACAAAAACATAGTGACAGCGGGGGGACCACGGTGATTTTACGCTTGTCCGTACAAAGGTATCGCAATTCCCACTCAAACAAATCACCACTAAACAAACGTTTCTGCAGGTAGGAATAATTCAACGAAAGGTCACTTGTTACGGGTCTTCGACATCGATCATCGGGAGTGCGTTCCGTCGACCTTCCCGCCTAATGTCACCCTGGGGAGCGCCCGACGCCGGCGACTCCGCGCCGAGACAAAACCGAAGCCCCCGCCTGTCGCAAAGAACTTTCCTTTGTACGAGCGCGCATCTTTCACGCCGTTCATTACAAATCCGCTGGCCCTCGACCGCGACGCGTCTCGTATGACGCCTGAAAATGTAATAAGCACAAGTTCATAATTACATGCATTTAAATACATATAGGCGTATATAACGCCGTGAGCATCAACGTTTGTAACCATCCGGTTAGGCACTATTTTACGAGACAACGGTGGATTTTACGAACGCGCCGCACTGGCCGAATTCAACGCCAGGTGACAGCGCTTCTCGGGTCGCGTGTATTGTGCGCGTCCTAACCGCCGACTTTCCATTTATTTCTCTATGAATACGTTATTACCTGCTCGCCCCCGCTTATCAAAGTTTATTTGCAGCGTGTGGTTTACTCTGTACCGGCGCTTATTCGTTATTACAGCGTCGGAGTGTTTTATTGCCAGGGCGGGGCACAAATCGTGCACGACGTCCTATTTTTTTTTGCTTTCCCCGCACGGTCCTTTCTGGATTTGATGTTTATAATGGTTATTTTTTCTTGTTGCAGATAGAGGACGCCATGCTAATGTTCGACAAACAAACCAATCGACACAGAGGTAAGTGGATAATCGCTATCGCTCGCGCTTACTTTAACAGGTAATTTCAAAGACCGATGAATGGTATGGTTGAATGATGGTTATGAATTTGAAATTAAAATGACCATCTTTCAAGTTCCGTCATAATAAGTTTCTACACAGCATGCTCCACAAGCGTGTTAGTTACTTTCGCCATTAGCCTACTCTGTTTCCCCAAACAAAAACGGCGAAACTTTGAAAGGATCGCATGTCACATGGGAAAATAACAATATCATTTTCGTGAGCGTCTCGCCTCATTTCGCAGGTCGTCTTTGCCGCAAAGTCGATACTGGTTAACTAGCAACGGATAAATACAGCCACTGCCCTTCCATTCGCATCCACCAGCCGAAGCAGACCCCTTTCTATTACGGGACAATAGTTTTTGGAACTAACGAACGCAGGCAGCGGGGATGTAAATGCGGCTCTTTCGAGAGTGGAGGGTGTTGGGGCTCAGGCGTATCGAGGCGAATCGCTGGCTCGGGTAGCGTTGTCGCTAAATAAGTTCACCGTTTTCGGCATTGTACTCCCTCCCCAGTGCTACGTCCATGCCCCGCTAATAAATAACGAAATTGACGCGAGAATAAAATATACTTTTCCTCCGCAAGGATTTCACCGAATCGCCCCGCTAATACAGCGAGGGTGAAACTGGAAAGTCGCGTCGGATAAATTACGTTTTCACTATTATCAGTTCTGTGCTCCGATAAATCGCGACGATACTGTTGTACCGCGTGCTGAATTGTTACATAAAATGAATGTTACGCGTCGTATAAATTGAAAATACCACAGGCCGAAATTATTGTTGCCGTTGTATCTTGCTCTATTGTTGTGTGGGACGGTAACGTTATCATTTTGAAATATGCCGGCGAACAAATTGCACCCAAAAATACGGACTCGCTTAATCAGTCGCTCTCATTATCCTCACAACGCGTAAGATTTTAATTAAAACCCACGGAAATCGTATCGAGGACGGCGGTCTTTTGTTGCCGACGGAGGTTCCTTTAAAGCGGTTACATTACAATGTTGAGTTTTGCTTTTGTAATAGTCATTACACGAAAACAGGTTGACCCCGATTACTTGGTGAGGTTGAAATATTGTGGCGTCGTTATTCATGCAATATTTCGAGAAAGAACCTTGTTACACATAAGTGTAGGCCGAAATTAACGCAATAGCCCTATGCCTCTTATCGTCCGCCAACGGTTTTTAAATTTTTATGCTTTTCTTTTATGATTGCTGTCTTACACTAAAGTTTTATGCGGGTTATTTCATCAATATAAACGTACAAAATTCTATTTCCTCTGCGACGATAGAATAAATATTTCACACGTTAAATTATAAAGCACGTAGCGGACCCGTTTTCTTACCATAACAGAAAGCAGCCCCAAAATGATGACTAGTTTAATTTGTCTGCAATAGAAGATATTTCACGTCCATCAATAATATTCAATACGATAATTTGACACCACTTCTAATACATCCCGAAACGTAATCAGGCGGGTCGGGCTATTCCGGAGAAAGATGTAAAAATATCCCCTGTTTACTTGTATCGCCCGGGATGGCAAGAGGCAACCCGAAAGAGTATTCAGGCTAAATATGAATGCAAACTGCCCCGGCGAACGTTCGAAATGGCGAAAATCAAATTAGGTACGGCGTGAATACTTCACGGCGACGTCGGGGGGGAGAAAAAAAATTGAAATCAAATATTCATCGACTCTCAACCGGATAAGCCGGCCCCGAGCCATTTCAATACATTTTATTATCTATTTTGCGCTATGGCAACGGCCCAGCCCGCGACGGCCGCCGGAACGCTCCTTAGCACGACTTCGATTTACAATCGGCTCGGATAAAACGACGAAGCTCTTGTGCCTTCATACATTTTGACCGACTTCAAAAAAGGAGGAGGCTCTCAATTCTGCCGTGGCATCCTTTGTGTTTGTTACCACAGAACTCCGTCATTTATGAGCAGGTTTTTGACATTATTTTAGCGTTTGGTTCAATTTAGCTGCTATATTAATTTCATTGGTACTGGATGTTGGAAATCGGAGATACGATATATATTTTGGAGACGGTTTTTTGTCAACAAATTTTGTATTTGTATACCATTACTACGAAGACACAAAATACTATAATGTATTGATATAACTACAGCCTATTGAGCGTATTATATCGATTTGAAAGACAATAAATATTAAACAAAATCAGAAAGGAAAATATTACAAAGGGTAACTTTCCATTCGATTAAGGTTGCGCGCCCACTTTCGATGGAGTTAAACAAACGTTAACATAAATATGAACTTGAACGGATTTCAGCTTTTTTTAAAAAAACATCACGTGTTGAATGGGGTCTAAATTTAATGGGCGATATTAATGCAAAGCTGTTGAATCTGTAAAAAATAAAAAACCTTTTAGCCTTTTCAGTACATTAAATATGCGCGAATAATGCGTTTAATAGCACCCTTTACTTTTATTTACGGCCGTTCTTGGTTGAAAAAAAAATAATTAACGACGTCCCTTTTCAAAAACTGCCCATTGTCTTTTTTTATAATTATCGTATTTTCAGCAAATATTTAACTTCTGTAGGAACGGAAGCTGTCATCAATAACGCAAATAAAAGTGTGCTCAATTAATCACCGCCGCTTTTCATTTTTCATCTAAAAGTTATTACAGGTTAAAATACGTAGTATAAAGAAAAATTATTACAGATTCTGATATGACACATTTTTTTTATAAAAAAGGACAACCGGACCATATTGTGTGCCGTTTTATTTGTGATCCTTCAGTTAAACGTGTAAAATATCTTTAAAACGGTTTTATTTAGCCATTTGAAATATTTGGGGTAATCCAAGAAATTCTAAAATCAGTTATTTTTTAAATTTTTTTAATTACTAAAGAAGCTTATGGTTTCTAAAGATTTTATAGTGTTTATGTGCATGGTTTTAATTTTATAATGGTTTTAAGTTTTTATTTTTACTATAGGAACCCAAGCTGATGTTAACCTGGTAATAATTTGCTAGTATTTAAAAAAGAAAACATAGTATAATGATTTCTTGCATTACACAAAAAATACTTCACATGGCTAAATAAAACTCAGCCCGAGTTAACTCCGACATTAGGACGTAAAAAGATTAAGTGTGGGCGTGATACATCGGGAATTTAAAATCGAAATAATACGCGATAAAATCCAATTCATTCAACCGCGTATAGCATCCGTGGAAATACAAGAAATCAATACAGAATTACCAAGGTGAAACGCGACGTGTAAAACGGACCATAAATATTAAACAGCGAAAGAACTACTCTAACCAATCTCAGCAGGGCGGATTCTGCTTGGTCACAGGAGATTCCACGCGCGCCTGCGGCGCACATATCTTAGTGCGAACTTGCTACCGTGAAATTTTCAGATCTCACTTTGCATAGGAGTGGCGCCATCTATTTTTCATTCGACGCCATTCGTGACGTGTGAAAGAAGCCTATCGCGTGAATCATAAATGGTGATCGTTTTCGTCAAGCTCCATAAAATTTCTTTTAGACAAGGAACGTTACGGTGCTTTTTTTTAATTTTATTCCCTCCCAACAACCGTTCACTTTTTATTACCCGTAAAACAGCACGGTGCGAATCACAATTCGGTCTAACGTGCCAGCATTGAATTCTAAATTAAAATAAGCGATAAGATTATTTCAGTACACGGGCCCCGCTGTGAGTGGCGGCAATTGTAGGAAATATTCTTTAAAGTTTAAAGAGCTTCTAAACCTTACTTGAAATCTTGGAAGCATACCTATTAAGGCAATCTCGTCTTTATACTCTTCTTGTTAAGACTGTTAACAGAATCACGGATTTAAGTATTTCTGAATATTTACCGGGCGCTAAGTGGTATCACGTGGTGGATCCCTCGGGGGAGCTGGGAAGCGTTGGACTTAGATGCGTCTTCCGAGAAACCACTTAAACAACGCTACGTATTACAATTAAAAAACACTTCTTTTCTTCTTAATAACGTATTACAGCGCTCTTAGCGGCTCGAGTAACGCATAAGAATTTCGCGTTGTAAAAGAAACTTTCAACTTTGATCACTCGACGTAAAACTAATGGGCGATATGCTAGTGAAAAATGTTTTTCATCTTTTAGTGGTCCATTAACAGTATCGGAGAGCGGTTAGGTCTCCCAGCGATGGTTTACTTAGCGTATTGGACCCTAAGTGATGAGCCGTCGACGGAATCGCTTCACCTGCAGCTGCCAATCGATTTTAACATAATAGCACTTAACGGTAGGTAAAGTGTTCGGGAGCATCGACTCGATATCGAACTCCGATCAACTGACGTGGCCTCGTGGGAGAGCGGTGCTGAGAGTGCATCCCATGCAGTACATATAAGATAAAGCGTGGAAGACTCGCGGGACCATCCGGTTGACGCAGGCTTTGCACAAGGCCCTTCGCATTTGAATCAATCAAGCAGCGAGCACCGACAAAATGTTTTCAATGCCGCCACATGTAGTGTCGATGATCGTACGAAAATATTGTTAACGAAATGGGATATTGATAAACCCAACTTACATTTAAATCAACGCGGACAAAGAAAGAATATACATAATATAATATGATTCACTCGAGTGAGTATAGAAGTAGGATTATGAAAGGATTTTTATATTAAATAAGTAATTTATTGGCATTTGTAGAATAAAATAATCTCAAACTCCGAAAAAAAGGTATAGTATGAAGGTAGTATATCGATTCTAGAAAACTGGCCAAGTGTGAGTGGACTCACGCACGAAGGGTTCCGTAACATTATCTAAAAAAAACTCATTTCTTTTGTATGGAAGCCTTAAATATTTTTTTTTAGTATTTGCTGTTATATCGGCAACAAAAACACATCATCTGTGAAAATTTCAACTGTCTAAATATCACGGTTCACGAGATACAGCCTGGTGACAGACAGAGAGACAGCTCAGTTTTAGTAATAGGGTCGCGTTTTACCCTTTTGGACGGAACCCTAAGAAACCACTGGATATATTAGAAACGCAAATCTCACTATACGTTCCCGTGTAAATATATTCTCAATTAGTGCATCGAGCTCCCTGAATGATTTGGCTGTCGCCTTTTAAGCCAATAGCCCGGATATTCGAACCTATCAAGCTTAATGTGCAAACGGAATGACCATTTGAAAGAGAACGTCTAGTTGATAGAGACTCCCAATTCAGCTGAAATCCAGCAATTCACAGCATCTGCATTGGCAGTGAGCTGTCATTAATTAGGTTGCGTTCGCAATAGATCACGAATTGGTGCAGTGATGCAAGCACTCCGCTTAAGATAAGGCAACCGTAAAGATCTTTCTTCTAATCAACCGTGATGATCAAACTAAGGATTGTTTTTATTTTTCTTATTTCGTTATATTTATTTTATTTATTGTTATATATGTATATTAATTTATTTCGTTATATTATGTCTTTCATTTATTGTAATATATATTAATTTCATAATTATGACGATTAACATGTATACTAGTTGAGCCATGCGAAATTTTTGCACAGTACTGTGATCAATCTCCGGATGGTAATAA